TGTAGAAATCATCTTTAGAGTAAAATAATGCTTAAAGAAAGAAAGTTTACAACGAACAAAAACAATTCAGGTCTTTAAGGGTTAAAATATTTTTCTAGAAATATTCAAATGACATTGATTTCTATTCAGAAATTCCTTTATTATAAATTATTCATAAAATATTAACATATTCAAACTTATAATTTATAGTTCTGTCAATATTTCTCATTTTTATGATAATATACAAATTAAATTACACAAAATAATGAGAATATAGTCTGTTCACAATTTTTTACTTTATTTTGTTTAGAATTATTCCATATTATGTTAAAGATATTTTATGTTTAATCAGTTTCTTCAAATTTGCTCATGGTGATGGGTGTCCCCAAAACACTTTCCCATTCCTACCTCATCTCCTACCTTAAAGGAAAACAAATAAAATTAATGTACAAGATATATCTATAAAATAAAATGTTGGCCAAAATGTTAAAAGAAAAAGTTGTGGGAAAAAGATGTTAAGTTGCCATTACTTAGTGTTTCAATAACATATGCTTTTAATTTTTTGTTGTGTTGAGGAGATGTATTAAAAGTTGAATCTCAAATTGCTAAGCATGCCTGCTGCTAATATTAATTAAAAACCTTTCTTGCTTGTTAGCAATTGATGCAGTAAAGAAGTGCCCATTTCTTGCTGGGGTCACCCCATTGGTGAAAGAAGCTAGCAAGGAGATGCAAGATGACATAATAGATCTCTCGCCACCTGCTGAGAAAGGTACTGAAAGTTTATTATTACAGATTAAAATCTCCACTTTCTAAATCTTTACTATTTATAATAAATTTTCATTTTGTTTTTTTAGTGCCAAGGCTTATTGGTCCAACTCAGGTTGAAACTATGCAACATTCTCCAAAGATGAAGGATTCTGTTGAAACAACTAGGCCTAAAGGTTATTACACTTGATTTTGTTTCATTTACTTGTAAAATATATATATAGTTTTATATGTTTATTAAATATTGAATGTACATATCTATCAGAAGATTGTTTTTATTTTTAGGAGAATCGTTCCCATATGAAGATTTTTTCCATGAGCAGATTATGCGGAAGAAACGGGACCATTCCTACCGTGTGTTTAAAAAAGTTAATAGACTTGCAGCTGATTTTCCAGCAGCTCTTGAGTATAGCTGGGGAGAACGCCCTATCACTGTTTGGTGTTCTAATGATTATTTGGGTATGTCATGCCATCCTGAAGTGAAGAATGCTGTGAGGTAAATATATTCAACTTGATTCCATGAAGATGTAAAATAGTTCATATCATTGTAAACACACTGAATATTATGTTGTGCGTGTGCATGTACATACTCATAGGTATTTTTCCTTTTGCTTTTTAGGCAAGCTCTTGATAATTATGGTGCTGGGGCTGGAGGAACCCGAAACATCTCAGGAAATTCTGTCTTCCATGAAAAACTTGAAGCTGAGTTAGCAGATTTACACCATAAAGATGCTGCTCTTCTTTTCACTTCATGTTTTGTTGCTAATGATTCAACACTGTTCACCCTTGCAAAAGCTCTTCCAGGTGTGTGACATACAAAAAAAAAAAAAAAACTTTTGAAAATATGATCTGAAGGTTTCAAAATATTCATGTTTATCTTAACATTTTCAGTTAGTAGTTTATTCAATATATTTTGAAATATAAACATAATAGATGCTTCTCCTCCCCCATAAACCTTATGGTTTCTCTTCTTTTTCCATTATATTCAAGTGAAAAATTACTTTCCTTGTGCATGTGCTAAAGTAATAGAAATTTTACCTCATCTGCATGAGGTAAATTCAGTTGTAATTAAAAGTAGAAATCTACATTCTTTGCGATTGTTTCAGGTTGTCATATATTTTCTGACGCTGGCAATCATGCGTCAATGATTCAAGGAATTAGAAATAGCCAAGTACCCAAACATATTTTTCGACATAATGATGTGAACCATTTGGAAGAAATGCTATCCAGAGTGGATAATAATATTCCAAAAATTGTTGCATTTGAAACGGTTCATTCCATGACGGGTGCTGTATGTCCACTTGAAGAGATGTGTAAAGTTGCGCACAAATATGGGGCTCTTACATTTGTGGATGAAGTTCATGCAGTTGGATTGTATGGAGATCATGGTGCAGGCATTGGAGAACGAGATGGTCAACTTCATAATATGGATATCATTTCTGGCACACTGGGTAATTATTTTTGGGAAGTTGTCAATATGCTTTATCAGTTTATAAATTGAGAATTCACAAATAGAAAAAGAGACTGCTAATTTACTGTAATGATGTTAAATACTTCCACCATATTTTCCATACTTTTGCTTTGTGTATATAGTTTTAAAAATCGTATTATTGTACCTTTAGGTAAAGCATTTGGAAATGTTGGAGGATATATAGCTAGTACGACAAAGCTGGTGGATATGATTCGCAGTTATGCTGCAGGATTTATTTTTACAACCTCATTGCCACCTACTGTTCTCTCAGGAGCCTTAAAATCTGTCCAAATATTAAGATCAAGTGAAGGTCAAAATCTTCGGAAAACACATCAAGAAAATGTGAGGTATTTGCGTCAAAAGCTACTAGATGCTGGCTTACCAGTTGAGAAGACACCATCACATATCATTCCCATAAAGGTTAGTTGGTTGACTATGAAATGAAGCGTTGATTGTGTCTTGTACTAATGGTTATATTTCTATAAAAAATTACACGTTTATAATTTTCCTTGCAAGTTATGGCACTGTGACATATTCTTGACTTTAGTTATTTTTGTAGATATTTTAATTATATTTTGTCTCTTTCTATTACATTATCAGGTACATATTGAAATACTTCTCTTAATTTTATTTTATCTTGAATTGAGAGTATTAATGACTGTGTGAAATTTCCTTAAAGCCATTGTTGTAAAAAGAGATAGCATTTAAATTTTCCATAAGATTGTAAATATTTTAGAGGTAGCTGTTTCAAAATTATTGTTGTTGTATTTTACAGATTGGAAATCCTCTGCACTGTTCTCAAATCTCAGATATGTTACTAAGAACTCATGGCCATTACATACAAAGCATTAACTATCCTACAGTACCTGTAGGAGAAGAGAAGTTACGTCTCGCCCCCACGCCGCATCACACAAAACCAATGATGAATAAACTTGTAAACGACATGCTCGATGTTTGGTATAGACTTGGTTTGCCATTGAAAAGTTGAATTCCAATCTCAGGTGTGAATATAATTTTTATAATTCATAAAACTAATTTTATTCTCAGTCTTTACTCCTTATTAAGGCATATGAATTTGGTGAATGCATGTCATACAACATTTGTAATAAAAATAAATACTTGGAAGTTATATTTTTAATGAAAAAACATACTTTTTTTTCAATCATCAGTGAGAATTACATGTCTTGTAACCCGTTCCAATTTTGTATCGTTTTAAAATAGGCGCCACCCATTTCCAATTGAAGAGGTCTCTACACTACTAAAGACAATCTAAACACCGTATGTTTTAATCCCCAGTTTATTTTTATTTAAGTTTCACAATGTTAAGTGAGTTTTTGTTCACATTGTCATGTGTTAGTCTAAAAAGTTACAATATAAAATATTGCAAACCTTTTAAAATACAAGTAATATATAAAGACAGTATAATGTAAAATCAGAAGGGGAAAATTAAAACAATATGAGAGGTATGAAATCCACAATTGACTAGCCTCTCTTCATCATTAAATCTATTTTATATTCAAATTATCATTGCATAAAGCATTGTTACCTTCCTCTCTCTAAGTAATGTAGGCATTCATTTCTTACTATGTATTTTTGAGAAAGAGGAAGATAAGGTCATCAACAGTCACTCTTTAATCATTATTATTACAATTACTGGAAAAGCAATCGTCATCTGTATTTGGTTAGTAATAAAGATTTACATCACTATTATACTCTAGGATGTTAGGACTATCGCAGAGTATGTACTGGTAAGTTCTCAACTGTCAAAGATCCATAATGTATTGCTGCACAACGTTTTAGAAAACTCTCTCATGCCTTAAAAGTAGCTGATAATCAGGGTTCGGATTCTGATGACATGTCATCTTTTCATTGATCCTTTCTAGATGTAGCTAACTTGTAAATGAATGTTTAACATGACATAGGTGATTTTTTTTGAGCCCTTGCATCATTTTTACACATCCTGTTCCCTTTTCATGTTTTTTGTTATATGCGAATGTTTCATGAATTGACAATGACAAACTAAAACAAAATTTTTATTGAATCATCAGTTCATTAAGAGATTCAGTATCGCAGTGGACTATGTTTCCCAAACTCTCAAAATTACACTATCTTCAGTAACTTCATCGACCTTTCAAAACCGACGGTTAAAGATCGGAGCTAAGGATTACATTTTTTTTCCCTAAAATTAAGATTTTTTATTTAATATAAATTTTTATTTAAAATTATATAATTCATTGAATAAATAAACATTTTCATAAAAAAAATTAAGTAATAAAAAAATGGATCATTTTCCCCTACTTTTTAGTCATTTTATAGATAATTTTCCTCTTATTTTTAGGACTTTTTATCGGCCATTTTCAAAGAATTTTTAGGTCATCAGAATCAGAGCCCTCCTGATTACTAATTCTTCAAAACTACATATATCGAACATTGTACATTACAAAAACTCATTTAGTTTATAGCAATATAGTATTGCTATAAACTAAATGAGTTTTTGTAATGTACAATGTTCCATTGCAGAAGGAACCATTAATTAAAATTTTTAATCTCTGTTAATGTACATATTGTATCTTTAATTAGATATTGTACTGAATTTTTTTATAAAACTTTTGTTACCTTTTTTTGAAGAAGAGAAAAATGAATACAAAAATAATTAAGAAATGTAAAAATTAAGTGCCGAAAATTTGTCTGATGTGTTTTTATTCCTCCATTGTTTATCCATTGATTATTAAATTCCAAATTATTTCTTGAATGTACCAATATTAATGTAATACTTTCTGCTCTCAGGGCTCAGCATCAATTATTTATTCTTGTGTGGACAAGATTATCTCAGTCTGGTATTGGTGTGTGGTGGCACTCCAACATGGCATTCAGCAGCATTGCTTCAACAATCATGTGAATCTACAAGATGTAGTATAGATATTCTTAACCGCATACGTATAAATGTAAAATAAAAATGTAAATTAAATAGCTAAGCTATCATGAAATCAATGTTTTTATTCCACATACAATTAAACCCTTGAAGTCCAGTTACTCGGAGTTAAACTGATTTGGACTGTTCATATAAGTATAAAAGTTCAGAAAGTTCAATGTCATATTATGCAAACAAAAATTACTCATTAAAAACAATTTACCAGTTTATGTCTTAAAAAACTAACTATTGAAGAATCAATTGCATTAATAATAAAATCTTAATTTTCAATCATGGTGTAGAGTAGGTTTGGAAACGTTTGAGCACAATTTGTGCAATGTTTGTAAATTCATAAAGGTTGCAATGAAAATGAACTTTTTACCATTTTATTAGAGCACTGTTCTCTATTCAAGCAAAACATATAAAGATAGACTTGCAGCTGTTTATTAGAAAATGTTTAAAATGTATGAGCTTCATGACAAATACCTCGAAACTGAAATATCCATTTCAAATTCGCAGAGCCTTGTGGGGGAGAATAAGGACAAAAAAATCAATTTTTAATTTTTATTCCCATAGTATTCCCTAAACCATAAGGTGTTTAGTGCAATGCTGGAATTTTGTGCCAATCAGGTTGAGGAAAGACCTAAATTTAAATTACATTCCAGCACAGCATCAAAATGTAAACTTGATGAAGGTATGTGAAATGAAGATGGAGAAGAGAATATTGGCAATGGTTTTAGAATAATAGAATTTTGTAAATCTATTCTTAGTAAATATTGTTATTGTGTAAAGAACAATAAAGAAACTATATTTAGGGAATAATGGTAAAAGAATAAAATACAAGTTTTGATGAAGGGAACTCTCCAGGAATGATTAATGAAGAAACGACTCTTCATTCCCATGCAATTACAGTAAAACTTCACTAATACGTTTTTCAGGGGACTGAAGGGAGAAAAATGAATAAGTGAGAAAAACACCCCTGAAATTTATTATTATGAGCAAAATAAAAGCTCAATATCTTTACACTATCATTTTCCCCAGTTTTTTTAATAATATCTGCCGTTTTACCTTACCACTCTCCCTAACAACTTTTCAAATTTTTATTTTATCTGATATTGAAAGGGGTTACATTTCCTTCTTCTCTTTTTTCGTTTAATATCGTGGACGCAAAATCAGATAGAAGATGAACTACAATCGACTCCGGTTAAAGTGAACTTAACTCACATAAGCATACGAAAGCTCTGTTATAATGAGCCTGAACCACGGCTATAGTGAACGTAGAGTGAGACGGTGGGAGAGTGGGACGGTGTTTCAACAGTGCAAGAGGCGTTGAAGATGTCAAGTCTAAATTACGATGCTTACAAAATTTAGTAGACACAGGTCTATTGAGAATCAACCACAAACTTTGGAGAAGAATTTAGAGAAATTACTAATAAAAACGTACGAAGCAAACAATTAAAAATATTGAAATTTGCTGTTACGTGTTTCTGTATTTTGCTGTTGCTGTATATTAATAAAATCAATCGTTATGGAGAAATTCTATTTAATTTTGACATCAGTTTTTAGTGAACCAAAAATGTTGGTTCCCAGAAGTTCACTATAACTGGAGTCGACTGTTTACGTCGATTTAAACATAGAGCATCAGAGCTACAAATTACAACGCTGGTCAGCTTGGAAAAAATATTGTCGGTCGATGATCATTATCGAAGAAGTATCCCCTGAGGTGGAGGTAGCGGACAAGCAATACCTTACTGATGACCTTATACGACTCACTTTCACTGAGAAAACGAAGGCCGTGTCTTGCGTAGGCTAAAACTGGCGGCGGCGACCCGCGGCTGGTTGCTTCGGTTTCAATCTTGATGATACTTAAATTTCGTGATTCCGTGGGTCATAGCTCGGTGTTCTACGTGGGCGATTGGAAGCGCACGACTGCCACAGCCCCACAGCTTGGCGCGCGTAAAAGCTTTCAGTTTCATTAGCTGCTTGTGCCATGCCGCTACCGAAAGGATCTCGTATGATATTACGGCGAGCAAAGGGGCCTGCGGAGAGTGGAACAGTCAGTGCACACACTTCATTTATTGGTCATCAACGTCGTTACTCTCCTGGGGACGACTTTGACCTTCCCTCGGAGCTAGCCGTCGCCTCCTAAAAAAGAGCTCCCGTACCCATCCGACTGAAATTTTTCGAAGTTCCGTTGCCGGAAGTGGCCCGGTAGCCGACTTAGCGCTACCCCTCCGCGGGTTCGCGCGATCTTGGCCTCTCAGCTAGGCCGAGTAGAGTTTCTAGTTGAGTTGATGTTTCGCACCACTTTCGTGCATCTGCGCATGCGCAGAAGATCGATAGTGCTTTACGTTCGAGGTGGCATAAACTCCCTATTCCAAGTTTCATTACCGGGAAGTCGCCTCAAAGGCCGAACGACAGGTCGCTCCGCGGGAGCGCTCTGGAGCGTGCCGACTCGAGTAAACACAAGTTTCGGACTCTCGACGCATATCACCCCGTGCCTCACCGGGATCATTTGAAAGTTATATGGCCTTAAGGGACTTTTATTATGAAGTATCAGGCTGCAAAACGTTGCAATAATTTTGCATGGAAATTATAGGAATCCGGGACCTTCAGGGAGAGAAATGTTTAGTTCATACAATTAATCAAATAGTAGATTCAAGAAAACGGTATAGTGCATTTTGGAAGAAAGTGCTTAGTCACGTGTACGAAATTGCCGTTTAGTAAAACACACTAATGCACGTATAGTAATGTTCTCACTAAACAGGTTGTACCCGTGATTGGCATCTTGTGGAGATAAGTAAACGAATCGTTGCGTTGAAGAATACATTAAGTAATATTAACTATACACATTGGAGTGAAAATAACGAAATTAAACGTGGCAAGGAATACTTTCTCTCCATTCCTTCAGGCAGGTAGTAACTAGGGTTCCGGAGCTGTCACGTATCCTACGGCCCCGTGGACTCGCACTTCCATAATGTCGATTTCCTGACAGACCCTGGTCAAGCAGAACAGTTACGAAGGCAGGCTGCCGACATTTGTCTACCGACGGTATTTCTAGTGTTAGTTTATAATATAACATACTAATTATTTAAAATTAATAAAATACTAAACACGCCATTTATATAGCATATAATTCTACATAGAGCGTTGAATTCTCACACTTCACATGGGCTCTATAACCTTTCGAATTGGTCAGATAGCTGAGAACGCGCGCTTACTAAACAGTGTTTATTAGTGTGACAACATGAAACGTAGATCTCACCGAATCTACGAAACAAGTATAGTACCTCTGATAATTCTCTTACGATCTGATCATTAACTTACGATTTTAAATTGTCTCATTTACTAAACGAAACTAAATTATGTGTAATGAATCTTACTACAGGAATTATTGTATTTTCTACATGATCTCTTATTAAACATGTTTAGTACATTCTACTACAACATTTCTGTCAGTGTACCCGTATAAACATGAACGTATAAGTGAGAAACAATAAAAGGAGTTTCACTGTACCTGTAACCTTCATTTTATATGATAAATGCTTGATTTTCTCAAAAGTTGTTCAACGTTTAATTTTCAAATTTTGGTCACAGTTGGAGTATACATAGAAAATAATGTGTATATAAGGATTTTTTCAAATGTTCCGTAGATTCAATGAGTAAGTTTTTTTCAATTCAAATGTTTTACATCTGATAATTCATGAATATTCATTAATTAATATTTATCAAAATATTACTAATGCTGCAATTTCCTTACACTCATTTGTATTTCAGGAGCAGTATTATAAACAATTTCAACAAAAAGTTTTATTTAATATTTTTTAGTTACAAATGACTTTAGAGTACACAATTTCATTGTTCTACATCAAATACCCTCTTCTTAAAAAAATTAAAATACTGCATTGTGTAAATCCACCTTCTTCCCCGCTTGTCAGATTTGATGATGCATGATCATTAAAGTTTAAGAGCACTCTTACAACTAAGGTCATTAGCGCCCGTGTCAAATTATTTTAAGAGCAGTAGGCACTGTGACAGTGCCAAGCTAAAGCATTTTTGAAAATGGAATGTAAAATGTGGAGGAAAAACTGAGAATAATGTGTTCAATTATTAAAATGCATTTCTGCAGGTTCGCCACACACGCCCACGCGTCAAAAGAACACCAATAGACGTGCGAGCGAGCGCAGCGCGGTTCAAAATGGGCGCGCCCGCTGCCGATAAGACGATGGCCTTCCGTGACCGCTAGATAGCGCATGAAATGCAGCAACTCAGCCGGAGGAGGGGTAGACGTCGTGTAGAGGGGTAGATGTTGTTCGCCGCTGCAACGACTACTAGATAGGAGTGGTCGGCGTCGAACAGACGTTCTAGTCAGTCGTCCGCGAGATAGTGCAGATTCCGTAGAGTATTTCTTCAATTAACGACACGGGAAGTAAAAATTACCCGTTGTGGGAGAAGAAGTGAAAGCTCTGGTTTAGTAAAGTAGAAGTAGCAACGAGCGAGAAACTTGCACGAGTGTTGGGTGCAAGAGACATTTTTCAATGTGGGCGTGTTAAGAGACGCCGGGAGCAGACGAGAAGGAAGAGGCCGAGGATCCAGGCGCTCGAGGAAGAAGTCGGAACTGGGCGTACGACGAGGAAGAAGACCGGAAGAGGACGCGAGGAGGCAGCGCAGACGGCAGAGGCGAATGCCGTCTCTTTTCGACGCAGAGGCCAGCGCACGACCCCCAAGGCCAAAAGTGGTAAGTCCACGAGGTAACGGTTCGGGCGCCAGAAGTAAGCCAAGTTCACGTCGTCAGGGGAAAATTAGTACAGGAAAGTGTGAAGGAAATGAGGACACGGGTGGCAACAAATTGCAGTATCGTAATAAGAGACATTTTGACGCACTATTGCCTGCATAAAATATTGTACATAGGACATTTATTATTCTGTTATTTTCAGCCACAGTTATATTGTAAATGAGAGTGGAGCACTTGCACACATTTGTTGTTTGCATGTAATATTTTGAAGGAGGAGATTGTAAATTGTGGTTTCGTTTGCAATGTAAAAATAATAAATATATCTAAATCTATGCTAGTTTTCAAGGGAGATTAGGGCAATCATTTCAGAGTCTCAATTATGTGTGTAAATCATATGTTTATTGTTCATTTGTGTGTGAATTGTAAAGATGAAGCGGGTTTTTTGAAGCAATTAAACCCTGTTTAGCTGTTTGAGTGTTTCTTTGGATTGGCTTTCAACACCCCATAAGATCCCATTGCCCTGTGATTTGTTTCAGCTCGCAAGAACAGATCTGCGGACCGGCCCAATGGACAACAATTTGGGTAGTTATACATTGTTTAAAGTAAGGGCGGGGATCGTCAGTATATATATATATATATATATATATATATATATATATATATATATATATATATATATATATGGGCTAGAGGATCGCGGAAGTAGTAAGAAGTGGATAGGACTTCGATAACGATTTTTTTTGTTCAGAGACGATATCTGATAGAAATGATTTCCTTAAGGGGCTCAGTGGAAGTAATCTGTGGCTAGTTGACTTTCTTGCTAGTTTTTTATACTTCGTAGGTATTATTACTTTTCCACCTTGGATGCACGCTGTATCTTTAGGGAAGTCTAGAGGCGACTCCTGACAACTGAAGTGAGCTACTAGAGTAGGATCACTTTGTGTTTGGCAACTTCCTGCTACGTCTGAGGAGTTACGTCATTCGGGCACTGGAGAAGGATCGCGACAGGTCTACTGGATTTGTAGCCTGGTGCCGATGTTTGGTCAGAAAAGGAAACCATTTCAGCGATACTTATCTTCTGAATCTCTCTTTCCTGGAGAAAGGTTTGGTTCTGGTTGGAAAGGTGGTCTGGATGGTCGCCTTCACAACTGACACAGTGCGATGGTGTAGAGCAGAGTTATGGGTCGTGCACTGATGCACCGCACTTTCCGTACACTGGGCTTACGGAAATACATCATTCCTGGGTATGCCCAAAACTTTAACA